ATCAGCTATTTCTCTAGACCTCTAGTAGGTACTCATCAATTTATATTTTATACTCATATTTATTCATTTTTGAAAGATTTTCTAGGAGGCCTCTTGTAGGTACCTACTTTTTTTGCACGATTGAAATTTTAATTATCCATATAAGAAAGTCTTTTAAAAATTAAATTAAAAATATTGTCAACATTTTTTAAAAATTAAATAACATTTTAACCTTCACATTTTGGCAAACTTACAAAAAATAACTAGGTACATAAGAATGGCAAGTGAATCCGCGTACATAAAAGTGTACACGATGCAGTTAACGTGAATATACACACTTTGAAAATGTAGTGAATATCAATAAAGTTTTATCTACTGGGCCAAAGAGTGTAAAAATGTAATACAAAGCTTCTGATATATTGTTACAATAGAAGTTGAAAAATATTAAAAATACATAGGCACAATTTTTTTTAATGAGCATTTAAAGATCGAATTTTGACAAAATTTATCAAATTTAAAATTGAATAATTATTTTGTAGTTAAAAATTTATAAAATATTCAACTTTTGTATCTAAGGATTGAAAATTTAAAACAAGATTCCACGTAAGTAGTTAATTTTGTTACCAAAAAATCTAAAAAATACATAATCAAATTTTATTTTCATATTAATTTTAAGTTCAAATTTGTACGAAATTACATAATAAAAAACCTAGAATAACTATTTTAGTTATTTTGTTGTGATCGTATAATATTAATCGTGAGTACTAGAAACTTCTAAAGTATACTATTAATTATTATAATATATCTATGATAGTATCAGGGTTTGTTGTTGATGTATAACGCGTTATAAGTATACCTATAATGGATATTGTGATATGATTAATTTGGAATTTATTATAGGTACCTATTATAGGTCAATTATTTTTAATACCATAGATAAGTATATAATATGTCTTATATCTAGACTGACATACCGTCTCCGCTCAGAATCGTTTTTCTTATACAATGATATTACATATCATTGAATTCAAATTTAATACCATCCATTATACAGTGACCCACTTATAACCTACTGTACAGCATAGCACCTTTTTCATAATATAGTTTCTGTGGTAGTCGGTAGATATTTAATTTAAGTATATTGCTTTGCTTTTTTGCTCCACAGAATCGTTTAAACGGTCTTGCTATGTTGGCTGCTCATAAAAATGTCTAAAGTGACCCTGAAGAAGTGCTTAATGAATTAGCATTAAGACCACGTAGAGTGGATCTTTTATTGTGATTTGTGATGTAACTCTATCTAGTATCTAAGTCCTAGGTATCAATAAAGTTAATGTACCTAAATATGAATATCTAAACATTATGTTATTATTTATTTTAATGTATAGTGTATTCAATATTACATACAGATCATAATGGTTGTATGCTTGTATTGAGAGGTGCTTATTGCTTACCTATATGATTAAAAAAAAAAAAGTTGAGGGGGGAGGGGTAATTGCCAATTGGTAAAATGTACATACATTTCATCCCCCCCCCACAACCATGACCAAATTACGCCACTGTGGCTTTCAAAAATCTAATTGCATCTGATACGATAAATGACAAGCGATTATGTTCATATTTGTAATCTTCGTGAGAACACAGCATTAGAGATAATGAGAAGATAATAAATATCATAATAGACGTTTATGAATATGGTTTAACTTTTTTACTCAATTATTTGAGCATTGGGTATTTTAACAATATAATGTACATCAACGGGTTACTCCCCCCCCCCCCTTGACGTAATATTTTGAGAGCTGGACGTTGAAACGCACTCACATTGACCTAAAAGCCAACACGTTTGGGTACAAATAGACACAACTTATGTTTGAACACATATATAAATATATAATTAAAAGGGATTTTATAATATTACCTGGTAAATCGATAATTAGTCTAATCAGAGAACGCGTGTGGCTAAACATTATAATATAATATATAATAATAATATATATTATACAATCTAAGACTATAATATTTATTACGTCACCTGTATGGGCTGTATCAATATGACTTCAGATTTCTTTATTCATCGAATATTCAGTATCTCAGTTTGATCCGGTTTTCATAATTTTACTGGAAAATGTAAGAATCGTGAATGTGAATACTAATGAAGTTTTTGAAACCCGTCATGGTAAAAAGTGGGGTATAATTGATAATTTTAAATGTAGTGAATTCAGAATAAATAAAGACAAGTTCAACATTTTTTGTTATACCTACATCCTAAACGTAACTGTAAAAAACACGAAAACATTTAAAAAAAATTAATGAATTTAATCTTGACAATGATGTTAGGAAATATTTATGACATTGGTCTGCGTTGTCGGAAAAAAAATAGTAATTTAATAATAAATAGGTACGATACTATAGACTCAAAAAAAATAAATAGAAAAAAAATGTGCTTGTTTTAATTGGTGAAATTGACAATGTATTTAGTATTTACCTATGCCATAATTTGTATTCTTATTTTGTTTTTCATGTTTCAGATAATTAAACGGTTGCAATTTTTTTGCTTTGACCTAATCCTCCCCCCACCTTCCACCATTCCATAATACTGGCTACGCCACTGCTCTTAAGTATATTATGAATGTAAATTAGTTAAATATTAACCGAATATCCAAATGACATTACAAAATTTACCACATGAATATTTGTGTGTGTAGTGTGTGTGTGAAGATCTTTTTGTTGTTAGAATATTTTCACACTAAATAGGTATTTTCTCAGTTTCTCACCTACTAAGAAGGTATGCTACATATGTAATTTAACCGCGAGCGAAGTAATATAATGGTATCTAATATTATAATAAAATATTTAAATTACTTCAAAGAAAATGGGCTTATTTTATTATTATCCCCGGGGTCCGATAAGACACCTACTCCCTATACTGTGACACTCTTGGGAGTAGAGGTCAGGGACCAGGGTAGTATAAGTATAAAGTATTTGAGTATTGATATTCAAGTTTCAAATACTTTTTCTAGTATAGAGTACATTTTAAAAACTATTTTATTGTAGTGAATACTGGAGTTCTTTATAGTAGGTACTTTTATCTGACTGTTAACTATACATTTTTGAAAGTTTGAAACTACATGTAATATTATTAATTCTATATAGTTAACTGAAAAACGATTACTCACCACATAAACCAAAATCTTATCTTTATAAATAATATAATATAGTTTACCTTTAGGTACTATAATAGGCAGATTAGACACGATCGATTAAGTGCTAATAATACGAATCAGTTCTGGCCTTTCTAGTATTTATCTAATTGTATAGGTATCTATTATAGTCTATTTGTAGAGTGTATTTCAATAAGACTCACACAAATAAAGTGTGTTTAGGGTTTTCTTAATCAATATTTTGAATTATTTGAGGTTTTATTATTACCTATAGCCATTACAATTTCCGCCGTTCTTTACAATGTTCTGTTAACCGAAACTTAACCCGCCGAATTTTGCCGGTAATAAAATCTGTTATCAGTAGATTAGCGCTAACCGACTGATAACAGATTTTATTACCGGCAGAGTAAGTGTCGGTTAACTTTAACCGGTCATCGTAAGAACGGCCCTTAGTCCGTGGTTATTAGTTAAAAAAAAATAAATAATAAAATGTAACAACTAATAAGTTACAAGTTGTTGACACTAATGTCTAATACTATACTCTAATGTTTTAACTATATAATCTGTCTGCCTGGTACCTATTTAGTATTTAAAAAATAAATTAAATTTAGTTGTTAAAAATACCTCCTTACACGTCATATTTACTCATTCAAAAATAAGGAAAAGTATAATTTGTCATTTCTAATCTGGGTAGCCAAGGAGAATTCAGAATTTGTTCCTCTATTTTTAATAATCAAACAGTGCATGTTTTTTAAAAATCAGCCACATCTTCCCTCTCGACGTAATCATTTGACAGCCAAGGCGCCACTGGTGCTTACATTATTACGGTATTCGATGTGTACACTATCAATTAATATCGTGCATGTTGGAAACTCACTCGTCACCGATTAAAGTATTTTTCTCAAGGCATTGGTCGTTACTCGTTAACTATTAAGATAATAGTATTACGCGTATATTATAAATACAGATCTACAGGAAACAGGATATATTTTCAAAATGTCGAACGTGTGACACGTCGTTTTACCGTAAAACGCGTCAAACTTCCACTCCGCGCCGCCGCCGCCGCCCGCTGAGCGAAAAGCCGAAAACGGTTTGGCGTCGCGGACTTTTGACACCCAATGGAATAGTCCATCGGCGGGACAGGGGTGCCAACGGAACGGCGAGCGCGTGCAACATGTGTGCCACGGTGTGCTCCGTCCCGTCCCGTATATTATACACAAATACAATATATTTTACACACACACAATTATTATTATTTATCTCCGTGCTGCGGCGTGTGCGCGTGTGCGTTATATTATTTTGTCGAGCGTGTGTGTGTGCGTGCGAGTTTTTGCGAGTTAAGACCGCTGCGGACGGAGTGTTGTGTTACCGTACGATATTACGTCCGTCTCGCTCGCACCAGTCTATTCGATCCGGCGACGTTTCGATTATTCGCGATTGCTCGTCGTACGGTGCGTTTCGTTCACAAAATGGCGTTTTTCACTACCGCGGGACGTGACGTCGAGTGCCTTCAGTGAGATTCGAGCGCGTACACCGACACCACACCAAACAGTTTACCGTCCGTTTACCGTCCCGTCCCGTCCGTCTTGCACGCACGTTAGACCCGTCCACCTCGCACGCACGAACCGGTGTTTACCGTCAAGCGAACATGCCGGGCGCTTAGTGGCCGCCAGTGGTCAGTCCGTCTCGTGTCGTGTCCCTCCGACTGTAAGTTGTAGGGTACTCCGGCGACCAGTAAAGTGCAGCTGCAAGACTTGCGCAACTCGGACGTTCTTATCTCGCCGACGCTCACCGGCCGCCGTAGTTATTATCTTTGTTGTTGTTGTTGTGATCAATCGTCGTCGCTGGGCGAGCACTACAGCCATGGAAGTCGTCGAGGTTAACGATTACCAGTGTCATTCCGACGGCGAAGAGGTCGTCCTGCTGGACATGGACAAGGCGAACGGCGTGGAAGACGACTCGCCCGAGGTGCACGAAGTGACCGTGGACGACGCCAGCGGCATGGACGTCATAGAGACGTGCGAAGACGACTCGCAAGATCGAATGGAGATCACCGACATGGTCATCGAAATAATCCCGAACGAAGAGGGCGGTGCGTCTGTTGATACTGTAGCCGACGGTGATGTCTCTACATCGAACGAGGCATCGACTGTGAACAACGTGTCCAACGACCAGGCAGCAGAGAAGGAAGATGACTCGCAAATGGATGTAGACATGGAAGACGACAAAATTGTCGATGTGGAAAACAAAGTTGTCGAGTCGGTGAATGAAGTAAATGAAACCGAAGAACCCGATAAAATCGCCAATGACATTACAGACAATTCTGAATCTGCCACTAAGAATAAAGAAGATGCTGTTAAAATTAATGAAGTTAACAATAAAACAATTAAAACAAAAGGTTTAGTTCAAGAAACCAAAAAAGCTGATGGTTCGTTAGTTCTAACAAAAGACAAAATATCTGTTACAATTCCTCAACATATCGCGGGCCGTGATATGGCGTCATTGTCCGAAGAAACACTCCCTCGTTCTGGAAAACGAATGTTAAAACCTAGATTTGGCGTTAAAGTACCTTACATTCATATGACAAGCCAGATTGTAACGCAAGATGAAATCGCCAAGGAGTTATTTGAAAGGTTTCAACAGAAGTATCCAATAACCCGTTGTGATAAGCCAGACAAAGTTTTTTCCATGAAATTATCACACCGACTGCCTAATAACATTTCTGGATCAAAAACCCCAGATGGGAAATCAAAAGATGTAAATAAAAGCCCCAAAAAATTATCAAATACTAAAAGTGATTTATCAAATAAAAAATCAGAGAAAACTGCAGACGTAGACACAAGTAGTAAACCGACAATTAGTAAATCCGATCCTAATAATAAATCAGATGTTAAACTACCAAGCTCAACACAATCTATAGAAAATAATTTAAGCAATATTCAAGGTCCGGATGTCCAGGAATCCAATAATATTTCCAAAGAATCCATAGAAGTGAATGATTCTAAACATATTGAACAAATAACTAATACTCTTCAAATTTTAGATCAGTCAGCTGATCAACAAGTCAATAATGTGTCTGAAGATAAAAATGATGAAAAAATATCTTCTAATGAAGAGTTAATAGCTATACTCGAAGATTTCGAGACCATTGAAGCAGATGCTATCCAAATACCAGATGTGCCATTGGCAATTCCTTTGCCAGTACCAACACCAATACTTACAACACCACCAAAACAAACTGTAATTAAAAAGAAAATAATCCGAAGCACTACTAGAACTAAAAGATCTAAACCGAAATTGGATCCAGAGTTAGAAAAGCAAATAGCTTTAAAACAGCTTCAAGAAGTTTCAAGACCTAAAAGATTTGATTCTCTTTATGCCAAAAGAAAAATAGAAATTGATAAAAAACTATTAGCCAAAAATGATCTTGGTTCTGTTTTGAAACGTAAGAAACCAACACCCGATGATGTACCTGAAGTTAAAATAGCTATTGATCAATATATTAAATCATATACGGACAAACGTCAATCGATCATTAAAGTGGAACCAATTCCCAATGATGAGGTTGTTAGTGAGAATACTGAAGAAGAAATTGTGCCTGAAATTAAAACTAATGATGTCGTTAAAGCTAGGACAATGAGGGAAATTAATCGTCTTTTAGGTGATGAAGGAGCAATAAATATGATATATTCTCTTGAAAAAAGAAGATCCCCTGGTAATAATAATGCAAAAAATATTCTTCCGTCAACTAGGCGCAAGAAAAAGGACCTAATGTTGAAAACTAAATTGGTTAAAAATGCCATGCTTAAAATGAGTTCTCCAGCTACTGCGTCTTTGTCCTCTAACCGCCTTGGGCGGCGTTCAGATGTGTGTACTCCATCTATTTCCCCTGAGAATAAGAGCACAAGGAAAACTTCTATAGATTCGCAGGGTTCTGATCAGTCTTCTAAATGTTTGGGAAATTTCTCTGGTAGGAAAGCAATTCCAGCTGACGAGTCTAAAATTATTAGAAAACATTCGTCGAGCAGTGAAGCATCTAGTGTTGGTGGTAGCCCAATACTTTCAGTTCCTGAAACTGTACCTATTAATAACTTGACTATAAAACACACACCTGTAAAAGCCTTGAGAGTATATACCAGAAAAAATAAAAACTCCAATGATATATTATTGAATTCAAGCGATCCGCCATTTGTTGAAGTGAGCAAAGGAACAAATAAAAGTTCAGTTAAAACCAAGAATTCTAATAACCTAAAAGTTAAAAAACAACCAGTGCCAGCATCGACAAAACTTTCGAGTAAGTAAAGTTTATGTTTAAAATTAAGTTAAAATTGTTTTTATTGGGTTATGTTTTTTTTACAGGATCATTAGCGGAAAGCATTAAAAAAGAGGTTGAAGACACTACTTATAATGAAATCACTTTAAGACGTTATGACGGAGTCGTACATATTACATTAACACCAGTTTCAACCGTTATGAAAAATGCTTTAAACATATCAGTAAGTCTTGTTTTTTTGATAGTGGGTAATTATGTTATAAAATTTAATATTTGTGTTTGATTAGGTAATGGAAGAATTGATGAGAGAGTTGAATCATTTAGAAAATGATGATACTTGTAAAGTGGTTCTAGTGTCTTCGGCTGGCAGAATATTTTGTCAAGGTTTGGATATAGCTCCTCTTGTACACGATGATCAACAAAAATGTGTAGAAGCAGCTTTAGACATTTCATCTACTCTTAAGTAATTTTTATTAAAATTTGAATACTCTATGCCTTAGATCTAAAAACCTATCCCATTATTTTATATTGCATATTTACATCTATTAATTTTATCATGAAAATTTAGTATTTATTTAATACGTTTACAATTTTCACATAGGTTGCCAATAACAAAAGTTCATAATAAGTTTATTTTATAATATTTATTTGTAATTGAGAGTGTAATTTATCTAGTACTTAAATTATTGCATTTTATCTATATTTAAAAGAGCACAAAACACAAAAAAAAAGTTTTTACATTTTGAAATAATGTTCAATTCTAAGGATAATGGTATAGGTTTTACGTTTCTACTCACATTATTCAATAAGTTTTGAGCAATTGAAAAAAGATGCTTGACGTCTTCGGACCCGGCTCATTGTAATTAACTATCTTATACTTGTAAAAATTCATCCCTACACAACGATTTACCAACCTAAAATTTTTATTTTTGAAATTTAATTTACATATTATAAATGTGTGGTTTTATATGTTAAGATGATACAAGTATCAGAATTTCAATATTAGTTTTTTAAATGTTAAAAATCATAAGAAATATATTTGAATTTTTATTTTATATTTAAATGGCCATGATGTGCGGTTAAACAAAAATATCACTTTAAAGATTTATTAATATTTAAAAAACTGAAAGTTATATTGAATTTCTGATACGTTTATTATCTTAAACACTTAAAATCACACATTTATACATAAACTAAATTTCAAAATAAAATGTTTAGATAATTGTAGTGTAAGTAAATGATAGTAAATCGTTGTGCGAAGCGAGGAACTTTTACATGTATAAGATAGGCAATTACAATGAGCCAGGCCCAATGACATCACGAGGCTATTCTACATTTCTTAATATCTCTTAAAGTAATCATTTTTTTTTACATCAGTTTTTCACAAATCATTTAATAGCTACAATAATTTGACATTAAAAAAATTTTTATTTGTGTTTTGTGCTCATTTAAATTAATTGTATTGTGTGTGGTAAACTAAATTCATATCTGCTGCTCAACTAGGTATATTATATTCTATTATCTGTACTCTATTCAATGAGATAACACACTGCTACTAAGTATTAGTAACTAATAACTAAACATATTAATGCTGCAAGTGACCGGTACTATAATATCAGCTCTGTGTACTACAGTTTCTGACCCAATAATGGTAAATCTCTGTTACTGGGTATTGACTATTTAAATATTCTTAATCTCTAGTAAGTACCAGTGACAGATTAATTCTAAGTGGGGGATATGGTAGGTTTTAATGCTAATAATATTATACAAGACTTAATTTATACAGTTACAATTTAACGGATATTATTGGAATGAAATTTTAATATTATTTTGTTTTACTGATATCTGATAGTAATACACGGTGCAATCAATGACTACTTCCGTACACATTATCTAGCAGGCCAATGATTATTAACTATACATTCAAAATGTCATAAAAAATTGTAATACCTTTATGGTGGCACTCCATAATAAAATCTAAATACTCTAATGTTATTTCTTACCATTACATCTCCTTTCTACACTATACTCACAGTGTACCCATTTTAGTAAACTTGCTGTGTGTTCTATTGTTGAACTGAGTATGGTTATTATCTTCACTAACTCGTATCAAATTGATCATTTGTATAAAATTTAAAGAATGCATTTTTAAGTGAAATTGATTCTTTTTGGTACATAATTTATGTTTAGTTTATAGTCTACTAAATATTGGGAATACTGTTATATTTGATAAAGTTAAGATAATTTGGGTTCTATTTATTAAAAAATCTTTATTTATTTTACTAGTGAAAATTGTATCTTATTTAAAATTTTAAAACCAAACCCATTTTTTCATATTTTAACAATTCTAAATGCAATCTATAATATAAAATATAATAATTATTGTATTTCTTTTTTGACAGGAAATTTATCTCATGCCTAAGTAATTTTCCCAAATTACTTGTTGCTGGTGTGGATGGAGCAGCAGTCGGACTTGGTGCTACTATGCTAGTCCACTTTGACTTAGTTTTTGCTAGTGATAAAGCAACTTTTGAAACACCATATGCACAACTTGGTCATATTGCCGAAGGTGCGGCCACAACTATTTTAGGTAGACTTTTAGTCGCTGAAATGATTATGGGTAGTCAGAGATTAACTGCTGGACAAGCTCACTACTATGGTCTGGTGACCAGAACACTATGGCCTGATCGATTCCACGATGAGTTAATACCATTGGTCAAAGCATTAGCAAGACAGTCATTACAGGTTAGTTTTATATTAAAAAAAGTCTTCATACAATTTACTAAAACTTAATAATAATTATGAAATCAAATAATTTCTTTTTTAAATTCGGATTAATTGATTCTTACAGACATTGATTAGATTAAATATTAGTCTTTTTAAGTACATTATAAAGTAGTTGATTTGAGCAATAAAAACATCTTCAGACTTCAGTGCTTAACAATGTACATTCCGCTCTATATGATGTTCCATAAAATAACATTTCATATGTTGTACTTTCTTGTCTATCTTTATGTAAACACAGGTGACCATATGGACAAGTGCATTTAGTGTATGTAGAGTAGTAGTCAGTTCTTATAAATCCACAAAATTCTCCAGCATTGCAATCCTTCAACTGAAAGGACACATACAAAATTAAAATTGAACACATAACTAAATGTATATACTTTTTTTCATTATGTAGGAGATATTTACCTTTTGACATTTGAATAAATCTTCAACGTAACTTATATCAGTAGTTTCATTATGATGTTCTTTTTGTTCATGTTTTATTAATGCCCAAGTTGTGTGATGTGGACAATTGCAGTGGACTTTGGCTTTTATTTGAACATTGTTATCCTCTCTGCTTTTTATAATCGTTATAGATTTATCGGATTTCATTGTACAGTCAGGCAGTTCATTAATGGGTTTACAAAACTAAATTAAATTTGGTTTATTTTAATTGGGTTAATAATATGTATTTATGTGATAATTTTAAAAACCTTTAGTTGTGAACGGTTATCTAATGGCATACTAAGATTATCATCTGTGCTCCACTTCCATGGGCATTCTTCGCGGTTTGGGCATTTACATAAACGTTCCACTTGATTTGGAAACCAAAACCTAAGGTGTACAATATTACATACACTATGTTGTTCACAAATGCCTAAGTCTCGTTCACTTTTTTCCTTAACAAAGAAAAACATGCATTTATTATTCTTTCAACAATAAGAAAATATCAAAATGTATAACAATTTATTTACTTGTCCTGGGTATATGAATACAGCATTATCTGTTTTACTGGATGTAACTGTCGTAAATGTAGATATACAATACACATTGACTACACTTATCAAAGTGTATGCAATATAATTAATCCACATGGTTATTTTGCAATAGTTTCTAACTGAAAAATAATATAATTTAAATGTTGTTTGGTAAATGTTACTGTTGATTGATAAATAATGTTAAATATTGTTTTGTGTTTAGGCAATGATAACTTCTAAAGCTCTTCAAAAACAAGAAACCAAAGAAAAATTGGCAAAAGCATTAGAGTCTGAAACACATATCTTAGTACAGCAATGGACTGGTGATGAATGTCAACAAAATTTACAAGCATACTTGAAAGATGCAGTTGACAACATTAATACCTAACTATATAATGGATTTATAATTTATTTAGTGTTCACTGTGCGGCCTCAAAAGTTAATATTTTTATGGGGTTTATATGCTACTCATTGAAAACGTTGCATAGAAATTTTAGCTGTTTTTTTTGATAGGTAGCCAATATCTAAATTATAGAGAAATTAGAATAACTTTTATACTCTAATTATTTCCAACTGATTCATTTTTATAACTAACAAATGTATTTTATTTTAATTAGGTTTTTTGGATAGATTATTAATTGTAAGCAATTACTTATTATTATAATTAAGTAATTTTTTATTTTCAACCAATAAAGGGTTCATTTCACAGGCATTTATTATAGAAAAAGACAATATCACATTTTAGCTCTTTACTTTTCATTGACATTATATTTTTTTTTTTTTGAGCACCGGCATTTATAATTTTTTTTTATATATAAATATTAATTTATGTATATTATTTTAAAATTACATTACAAAACTTTAATTATGGTACTCCTACTTTATTTAGGTGTGTTTATTTAAAATGTTTAAGTTTGAACTACTTTAGTATACAATTTATGTTATTTCTCATACATTATTTATTGTTATAATCTCTGTTCTATATTAATTTAATTTTTTGATTTTAGGTGAAAAAAAAGCAAAAAAAAGCTATTGTTGATGTACATTATCTTGCAAAAAAATCTCATTTTTTTCTAAATTCTAAATTATTTTAATGTTATAATAATGAGATGTGCAATTCATGTTAAAATAAAATAAATTAAATTTACTTTAATTGTTTTTTGATTTACTATCTTCATAAGTTTATTACTGACTGGACTACTAAATCTTCATCAATAGAACAACATAAAAAAATTAATTTTAATTGTTATGTTATGTTAATTTTTCATGTTATTAGTCTTATGATGTTAGCAAATACATTTTAATACAATTATCCTATTAAATTTGGCTATACATACAATACCTAATGATAATTTTAATTTTTAATCTCAAAGATAATATTATAATAATTTATATGAATTGTATTTTGTGTTAATGTACAATCTAAAATACCTACGGTAATATTGCATAAACTAAATATTTGAGACTAATATTAATTTATATGACTTTTTTTAGACTTTAATATTATGTTATTATTTAATCTTTATATATTATATGCATATTATGTATTATCAGATTAAACAGTGATCACTATTTCATGTTAAATATTTAATTATTAAAATAATGATGGGTCGGATTTGTATTTAGTAAATATTATATGGAAATTTCTATTTTTGTTAAAATTATGACAAAGAATGTGACAATCACATTCAATTTTAATAAAATAAATAACTTGTGAGCAATATTCACAAGAGTGAAAACAGTAATTAACATATTTGTATTTTCGGAAAGAAATGTTTACACATATGTAAATTATAATATCACAGTTGTAAAAGAAAATATTGTTTTTTTTTTTTAAGAATCCGGGTAAATACTAAGAAACAACCTTAAGTATCAATTTTTAAAATTCTAATCTGAAATTAATTTTTGATTATTTAAAGTGTTGTAATTCCTTCTTTTTTAAGACAATTAATATTGTATTTATATTTGTTTACAAATGTAATAATTATAAATTATTTCAGTACTAAAATATGGTTGGTGTTTCCTGTTTCAAAAATAAAGACCACAAAGTTCAAACAAAAAATAATATACAATTTATATTTATATTTATATTTTAGTAAATTGTATTTATTTAGTAAATTCCAAAATATTTACATTATAAACAACTAGTACTTTGAAAATTGTATTAAATAAATTATAATTGAAAAGATAATTTTTATAAATTATTTCTTGACGTTTTGAAGATTATAAAGTTATAATATGAAATTATTAAATAGTATATTTAATTGCATAAAATAAAATACTTTTACAAAATATTTCAAACTTAATGAAGAGGTTAATATCATTAATTTTTTGAGCCAGTCATGTCAGAATTTAAAAAAAATTATCTACTTTGAGCTACGATTATTGACATTTTATTTAATCAGTTGAGTGATTACTATTAATTATTGATAATTAACTAAAGTATAGGTTTGGATTAGGTATAATAATATAAGCGAATATAAGACAAGAAAAGCTTATAAATATTAAAATATATCTAAATAAAAAACAATTTAAGAAGTGTTTGTTGCTAGCATGAAATGTAAGTTTAATCTAAAATTTAGGTTGTGTAAGTACTATAGATACTGCCTAAGACTTTAAAAAAATTACAATACCTATCAACCTATTGTATAATTGTAATATATTATGTTATATTGTTATGGGCGCAGGCTCCCAAACGTTAGAGGTGGACGATTACCAATAAAAATGTCCAATACTTATAAATTTAATTATAAAATGGATAAATAGGCAGTTTTGGGTAACCCAAATTACAAATTACTGTAAAGAAATTACTTTTGCAGTAACACTATAGTAATTTCATTATATTTTGTTTAAATATTAGCCCAATTTATTGCAACAAAATAACTTTTTTAAAGTTATTCACATGAAGCAACGGGTTATTTTCCACGTTAATTAGAATAAGTTATAAATGTATGACAAAACCCAGGGGCTATGATATTCGAGTCAATAAAAATGTAACTACATCACAGACGTATAATACCGATATTGCCATACAATTTATGAAATGGTATGACATCATACCATTACTTATTAGTTATTACAAGGTACTCATTAGTCATTATGGATGACTGATTTGACAAAAAAAAAAAAAAAAAATAACAAATAGGTATTGTCTTTATCGTGATAGGTATTTCAAACAAAGGAGTGTGGTGCGTACTCACTATAGTCAGTAGTCAAGTACCGACAAATTCGAAAATGTCATAAATTCGATATTGAACTGATGTTCCTGGCGAACGGCTACTATAGTGTTGTCCTTGCGGCACAAAATAAGGACACTTTATAAACCGTATAACGATTCAGTTTTTGAAAAGAACTCAAGACGCGATGTACCATGTACGACTATCACATCAATCACGATATTATAATAACACACATGACACATTACGTAAGCACATGTTTTATCGGTTATACTTTGTCCCGCAGACAAAAAAATAATATAAGTATTATTGTTACTACCTATCTGAGATATAAATTGCTTTTGAAATAAAAAATATGAAATGTTCTTATTGGCTGTAACACGGAGGTGGTCCTGGACCGTGGACCGTATTATTATGATTGCCTATCGCAACAGACCGCTATCGTTACCAGCCCACAATATAATATTATATAGGTACATTGAATATGGTATATCTGTGTAACCGGTTACCACCTCGGTACAGAAGTCTGTGGCCCGCAGCTGGTATAAATTGGTTATGACGTAGGTATCTATGCCGTGGTTACCACGTTATTCTGTGTTGTTACCACGATCTAAGATCAGCAGCTGCAGCTTCTTATAAGATTGCAGGTGCAGCATCCGTCATAATGTTGTGCCTTGTGCGTATCTATTTATATAGATACAATGTCGGACCACCTTGCCCCGTCTTATTCTATGACTCGTGATTGCAAATGGATTTTTGTTGGGTATGTTCCACCAGACGAAAAAAAACAAACCGGGAAAAAATTAAAATATAACAAAACAACTATTAAAGACTACCGAAAATATAATATTTAGTTGGACTATTTGGTTACAGTGTGAAGTGCATACGAGGAACCTTGTTTTTAATTTTCAATCCCGAGTTGTAAAAATTTTATTCATTTTTAACGACAAAATAATTGGCAAATTATCGTGATTTTGAAGAATTTTATCAAAATTCCAACTTCATAATATGCTTGTAAACAGAAATCGTGCCTAGGTATGTATTATCTATAATAATATTTTTCGACTGAAACCATTTTTATCGTCGATAATTTTAAAAAAAAACTATTAAAAATAAAGTGTCTAATAAATAGCTGAAAAAAATCAAAATTTGATATTATTAGTATACATAAACATTCGGTTAAAAAAAACAATGAATCTACGGTTATACCTATATTTTTTAGTTGCACCAAAAATAAAATCTATTTGGTCGATAACTGGTTTTGCGTAAACATTTCCGGACTTTCTTAATTTTGTATTGTTTTTCTCGTCGGTTTTGAAAACACGAATGTACCCAACTCGATTCACTTTCCCACCGAAGAAGATATTATAGTTATGGTGAATATCGAACACATTATTTTAAATCCACAGGTGCTTATAAACTTATCGTGTATATAGACAAAAAATTAAAAATTAATTTAATTTTAAAAAAACACAATCTTTTTTTTATTTTGAATAAGTAATATATTATTATCTATATCAGTTGACACTTGACATAATAACATATATATATATGGGTTAAGAGTAAAAAAAAAAGAGGATATTTGAAGAAAAAAGCCATCCAATAGCAACACTTTTAATCTAGAGGAAAAGTTTATAGCAAAAAATGTAAAAAAAAAATGGGCCTAATATGTATATCGTATACCTATGACCCGTTCGTAATAGAATAGAATCCGTCCGTAAACGAATGACATTCAACAATAAAGTTTTCTTAAAGTATACGTAGTAGAAAGTAGAAAAGTATAGGTATTATTATTCGTATTTCGTATACCTGTACGGCTGTACGATTTACAAATACCGCTCTATAGTCTCTTCACTATTCTTACTATACTTTTTAAAAGTTCAAAATCCGATAAAAAATTAGATATTTAAACAAAGAATATCAATTTTCGTTATTTTGTTGTAATTTTAAAATACTATTCGGAGATAAGTTGAAGCTTTTAAACTATATTATTTTATTTTATACGGTATATTTTATATGGCGACGACGCTGCAGGGGAGGGGGAAAGCAGTTGGAGGTAAAACTAAAAATCTATAAGTTAAAATTACGCTATTGCCCCCTTAGTTAAATATCATAGCGGGCGCCGGGAAGTGGACCTTCCCTCCCCCTTTCCACTATGCATAAAGGAATTCAAAATCTTTTTTCCATAGCCGCGTAGCCTATTACAGTGGCGGCGCCAGGGTGGGCCCGGGCCCACCTTAAAAAGTCCCAGGCCCCCCTGTGGCCCACCCCAAAAATTAAATTTAATCATATTAGAATACTAAAAAATATCTCATCAATAAATTATGATTAAAATTAAAAAGTGTTTACATGAATATATATTTTGTTAGGAAATAAATACTATTAATACAATACATGTTTACAAATCATTGTTTTAGTAAGTTTACACGATGAAGACGTGTAAAAAAAATTGGAAGTTGACCCTCCCCCTTACCCCTTACTCCTCTGCGCAATTGCCTGTCATCAATATTGTTTATATATATATATCAAGTCAACAATTTGGCCCTCCCTAAAAAATTTGGGCCCCAGACTGGCCCACCTGGTATTAAAGTTTTGGCGCCGCCACTGAGCCTATAGTACCTATCTCTTATAGTTCTATATTTTTAATATAGACGAGAATGAATTGATTTAACTCGATAAAATGTTCTTTTTGAATAGTTATAATAATTAATTCACAAGAAATGAATGTAATTTAAATGCTCTACCTATTATATGATTTTCATATACGGTTTGGAATTTGGATATGCTCAGGCTATGCCCGTGACAACTAAACACACGCGTATTATCTGGTGCGGTGTGGATTGAGTGTATTCATCCTTGATCAGTATTTTGTTTTTAATCTATACTGCAGATGTGTAATAGCATAATATACTTAGCCACTTAGGACTTAGGTGGATAATGTGTTGTGTCTATTAGTCATGGTGACTTGTGAGACCTAAATATCTTTAAGGTGACAAAACATTGCGAGTGTCGCCACATATTCACTACGAAAATAACAACTTATCAGCTCATTTATAAAACCCACATTACATTAAATGATTTACGATTTACTCTAATATTTCTTTTCTATAATAATATTATATAGATACGCATAAAGGACAAATACAAATATAAAGAAATTGAGTCTATTTGTTGAGAATTTTAAATTATATACAATAATACAAATTACAATATACATAATATACTATCTATTATATAGGTATAGGTAATATAAATATTATTGTTGTTTATTGTTTTTTTCCGATAAGTACACCGCGTATACACTATACAGTATACACGTCATACTTACATTTTTGTAAAAATATACAAGTAGGTAACATTAAAACAGAAACAACGAAACAGTGTTATACTTATTATACGTATTATACTTATTACGTACATATATTAATTTCTTAAAAAAATGGTTAAAGTATAGATTTTGTTTTTATACATTTATATTATGATTGATGCAGTCTGTGGTTATCTCTATACGTTACCTAACCGTCCATGAGCTAATATACCTACCTATCTATATATTTTAATGTGTCATTTTTGTGTAACAATTAACAGTGAATGGGTCCGTACACCTATATAAAAGGTTTATGCTAATTGATGGGTTTTCGTTGTTTAATGAGGTTCTAATTCTATAAAACATACTGTTCCTTTTACAATTATAACAACTGAACTTAACAATTTTTATATTTAATTCAATATGATTGTATCCAAAATTATACTACAACTGAGTGAAAAATATAGAAAATCAACCTACCAATAATATAAAATAATTAAATGTGATAATTTGAAGACAACTTCTGAAAACCCCTACAAAATATTGTGCGTTTGCTGTGTTCTCTTAAACCCCAATAATTTACTAAATTGAAACATTTTTTATCGACAACAATCAGAAAAAAATATTGTAAAACTCGAAAATTTTGTATGCATATAAATAACTCAAAACAGTGGGGTGCCCAGGAATTTTGGAGGGGGATTGGTTTGAAATTTTTATCAAACAAAATATTTTTTAAATTTAATGTTATAATCTGGTTTAGCTCCTCGTAAAATTAAAATTTTTTTTTTTGGAAATCTATTATGTGTTACAACCAGAACTATGATGTAAGAATTAACTGCCGGAAATCATTAGTTTTTATGGCCTTATGAAGTTTAATTCTGACACCCACACGTCATGGTGGTTTTACATAACAAGTCGACATGGATGTTTCTGATTTTAATTGTCCGAGCGAGTCAGGGCCGCATTTAGGGGGGGGGGGCGCTGGGTACAACTGCCCCGGACGCCATTATTTTAGGGGCGCCAAAATTTTGTGGTCAGAAATTTGTTTACTTGTAAATTATTAAAATTTTATAATTTTAATTATTTTAATAACAGTATTACATAATATAATTTAGTATAATATAGTATTATGCTGTTTTAAATTTTAGATTTTGAGTGAAACGATAAATGTATTGATTTTACAATGATGTGTGTTTCTTTTATTTCTTTTTTTATTTTTGTGTCTGTCATCACGTTTTAGGACACTAAAAATGCTTAGATTTTCTTCAACAGAATAATATATTTTCTATAACTTTCTTATTTTTTTTTTTTTACTGAAAATGTATTATTTGTAGACACATAATTAATTATCAAAATTTGATTATATTTCCAGTATTTCAGTATTTTATATAAGATCATGAATATTAATTTATATTGATTTATTTTTTATGACATAACTTATAAGAAGGCTCTTTGGTCTTTTAAAATTTACCTCAATCAGCACTCTGCAGTTTTATGTACAGTCTTGAATCTATACTATACATCCTTTCGTGGTATACATTTATAATCTCTGATATATATTATTACGTACCTATTGTAGTAGGGACATACCTACGTTTAACGTTGTATAGATACGGGCTGCTGACTGCTCTTCGCTTAGTACCTAATGTTTTTTTTCTGCTGCGGGTCTGATCTATTTCATGTTTACATTAACATAATATTGTCTATCATGTCATCATAACTCGTTATATTTTTTATTTTTCGTAGCTGTCACATTGTCACGCTGTGTGGAGCTTAATGTACCTATAAGTACCTTCCATTTATACAGTCCATTTTTAAAAGATATAATATATAAATTTGTATAATGTTAATATATTAAATTAATAGGTATAATATGTAAAGAATTGCTAATCAGTATAAGCATTGATTAAATATATTTAATCAATGGTATAAACTATTAACAGGGGTGGATCTAGGAATATGAAAAAAACTGTGCTATAACCTATTTAATGCTATATATAAACACAACATATTATGCACCTTTATAAATTATAAGTAATATTATAAACAGGACTTTGAGCTTTTGGATTGACATTTACGAAGTCCACAAAAGTTATTGTTTCTCTCGCTATACTACAAATTGGAATATTTAAATTGAGAAAGAGGGTCAGGCTGGGTTAGGAAAGCTGAAGTGTACTTTTTGGGGCAGTTAAGTATAATATAATATACGATTTTTTCTTAGCCGGTCATATAAATCTAGTAAGCAGAGAAAATATTTAATTTAAAAATATAAAACACATGAGTTTGAATGCCGTTTTAAAGTTGAAGATAATATCATTTTTCGTTGATAGTGTCATTTTGTCCTTCCTCCAGACTTATTAGCTATTTGAGACACAAATAAAATACAAAATGGTGTATTCTAAAAAAAAATTCATGGATTTATTTTACAATTAATACATAGTTAAAACAAGTAGGTAGTTAGTAGACCACACATCTGTAGACTGTAGTGGAATAATGTTTTAGGTAGGTACAATAATAATCGTTTACTACCTACTTTAATATTTTTAACATTAATATATACCATAAATCAAAATATTTCTAAAAACTTTATATCTAATTAAAATACATAAAATAGGTTAACAAATAACTTCCACCTTTGCATGAACTTAAAGCTCCCTATAAGATCAATATAAATTATAAGTCAAATGCATTAATATTTTACAATGCCTACTATAAATATTTTATTAAGTATTGACCGAATTTAGCTTCCAAGGAAGGGATAGGTACAATAATAAATATAAATTGTATAATAATAATTTAATAGGGATAAGTTAGCTGTTCTTAAAGTTAACATAATATTATGCTTTGAGTAAAATTATACACATTACACATATCATTATAACGACAGCACCCAAAATGGCAAAATTATGACTTATGTTATATAGGTACCTTATTTTTATGGTTTAGAATTTATTTTATTAGTAGGTAAATTAAATTTAAACGTTGGATTTTAATGTAAAAACGTGTTTTACGTCTACTCAATTCATTTTTCAATGGTAAATATTTTATAAAGACCACATATCTATTTATCGTTGGACATTCCTTTGAATAGTTATTGTTATATATATTGTTATTAAAATATTAAATACTTACAAGTTCCATTATGTATAATGCTTTTCATCAAATGTGATAAATTATTACTCTGAGCAGTGTCGTGCTTTTGTATTGTTTATAATGCATATAATAGAATGTCTCTCACGTGTTTGTCCTTGTCAATACATTTTTTTATTTAAAACAATGATTATTTATTTTCTATCTATAGATTTACATTGCCACAATTATTATAGGTACCTAGTTAATTCAAAGTTTTGATAAAGATGTTTTCATAATAAATGTATTAACAATATGACACAATAAATTTAAACAATAAATGTATATGTTATAACTTAATACTTATAATATTTCAAAAGTCAAATGATAAATTTTCATTTTATAGGTATTCAAATAGTTGTTTAGGTCTTCAAAATATGGCTGCAGGAGTTGGTGAGTGGTGAGTAGAGTGAAATATATATTTATACATAGTTGCGATAAGTTAGTAGTTGCGAGTTGTGACAACAAAGCCACTCAGGTACCTTTATGTATATTATATTTATGTATATATTATATTTGGTATGTTTGAGGACAAACACGTCGTGACACTCCTTATATATCTGTGTAACCATATATGTTATATTCCTTAATATATAATATTATTATTTACGTTCTCGTAACACTAACATATGATCAATTTTCGTTTTGCCAAGTAAACAAAAGTAAAAATTGCATTTACTCAGCAATCTGTTTGCATTTATATTTCGTCCTGTTGACCCGTCTACTTTAGCTGTAGGTTTTACCTGAAAAACGATACGGTTTTGTATTAGGTAGGTACGTGTTGTGTTTCTAATATACATAAACGGATAAACGTATACATATATATACATATAAGTATACTTAATATTATATAATGTATATATTATTTACATATTTATAATATCTGAATATCATCAATTAAATTCGTTTAAACATAATATAGGTAGGTACCTACTCAACAATAATGCTTGGAAGTTGAAAAGAACAATTAAATTATTAAAAAAGAAACATTCAAACATGTATAGTTCGTATATGAACTAATTACTAAATTTACATATAGATTATATATACTATTGTTATAAAGAAGCAGAAAGTCGCTCACTGATGTAGGATGAGAGGGGGAGGGGGGTTAATCAGATTTTTTTTATTCTATATGAAAGTTCACGTATACTCGCGGTGCCTAAGTCCTGAGTAGCTAAGTACATAATTATGAAAACATTTTGATTTTGACTCACTTGCGTTTCGTCTTCGGAAACCCACGTTCGGTTTTTACCGTCGACTGATCTACTCCTGCTCGCACCACGGGTAATCGGCGTGCCCGCCGCCGCAGCCGCTGGTGCAGCCGCCCCTAAGCCTCCAACCCCTGGACCAAACAGTCCAGACAGTCCCGTGCCCAATAACCCCGTCGTGCCCAAAAGCCCTGTACCCAATATGCCGTTGACGCCACCCAATATGGACGGAACGGCTCCGTAACCGAAACCACCTCCGGTCCCGTAGCCTCCGTTCTGCAGACCTCCATAGCCCATTCCACCGAATCCGGGACCGCCTCCGAATCCTCCACCACCACCGAATCCATTGCTGTAGCCAATGCCGTTGGCATACCCGTGGCCGAAAAAGGGCCCGGTGAAAAATGACTTCAGGGTCGGTATAAGTAGTATTAATAGTGCATGTAGCAGGAACGCCAGGAATGCCAGTACCGATATAAATGTTGACGGTTCTAGGCCAAAACCTAAACTGTAATAAAAAAAATATGTAAATTTTATTATACATTATATTATATTTTAATAAAAATAAAATATGACCAAAAATAGTGTTTATAATACTATAAATATTATATATTATGCTAATTGCTAGACACATGGTTTTCTTATCACACAATACCGACTATATCCAGTGAACAGCGTCTATACTCTATGCATTTGTTTTTACAAAAATATAATAAAAATATCAATATGTTCCCTGCACTTGTTTAGATTTTTCACTTAAATTCATATTATTCTAAGTATTACAGTTTAAAATATTAATGGTGTATCAATTAGTTTCCTGGTTAATTTTACTCAAATTAAAAAAAAATACATATTATAAGTGAATAAAAGTCTGCAGAGCACGTAATGCTAAATTATGTTTGCAAAACAAGCCGTGTATTAATTCTAACTAATTTACTTTTTCTACCTATGATACTAGTTGTTGAATTATTAATTCAACAAAATCAATTCAATTTTGATAAATTATTTCCACTTGGCACTAAATTTTAATATCTCAACTACTTCAACAATACTGTTTATCCTTAACATAGTAAATAGTGTGTGTTAGTTTGTTAATACCTAGTACCTACCTAATAACAATAATAATAAAAGTACCTCGCATATAGGTACCTCACGTATTATTGTATTATCATTAGAATTTTTGTAATTTATTACATAAAAAATTTATTGTTTTAAATTTATTATATAAAATCAATATTTTATTTATCTGTACAACTAGGTACTATAATTATTTCAAGAAACAAATTAATTAAAACTATAAATATATTAGGTATTATTATTTATATGTTTTATGAATATTATATAGTTATTATTTACCCGTTTCCTCTTGATGGTTGATAATCGTCAATACCATAAGACCTTTCCATGTTCACATCTGTATCCGTGACTAGTGAGTAGTGTTCACTTTTGAATGTTTTCCGAGTATTTATAATGCATTTGAAAACTATCCTGCATCCAAGAACTTCTGACTAGTAGTCGTATTTCCGTTACTTTTAGCCGTAGAACCGTATCGGAGGAGGATGTCAAAAGCAAGAAACGTTAAGTAGGTATGTATGTACATTTCAACATTTGATAGTAAAAAATTCAAAACTGTCACAATTTGAACACACAAATGCAAACAATTACGCTGTATATAAAACCGTAACGGTTCAGATAATTCAATTATAATGTTAGGTATATTATTTCCGCAATAATTATATTATTATTATTATTATTATTTATCGTATTTATAAGTTATTATAGAAGACTTTGAAATATAGATCACTTGGTTAATAGTTATTAGTTAATAAGGCATACAATACTTTTACTGTATTATCTTTATAATATACTAGCTGATCCCGTGCACTTCGTTGCCCATTAAATGTATCAACTCTATATGACTCAAACTTTGTCCAATTCGTTATTTAATATTCGGTGAATGGTGTTCAAAATAATTTATCTTAACTTTTCCGTTGCCCCGAATAAATATACTGATTCGCAGCAGTACATTATCAAGTAAGCAATCGCTGTCCCTGTGCTGTTTGTACGTAAGTGTATGATTTAACTCTAAAGTATCAAATAGTTATACCAAGTTTGTCGTTTTTACATAAGGGGGCTGCAACCCACGTATTTTTCATATATTTTAGACCAATAAGTGGTGGTGAATTGCACATACTTCGGAATGTCTGATTTAAATTTTTTATACATGTTTAAATTCATTGATAAAATATCTATATTTCTTATGAAGTCGATTTTCAATTTTCAATTTAAAATTACCTTTAAATAACCATTTTTTTTTAGAAATCCCATGAAATAATTGCATTACATTTGTATTTATTTTAGGCACATCTGTTTTTAAATTAAAAAAAGTGATTCCTAAGAAGCATAGTCTAGAAGTTTATAAAGTCAACCGTTTTTTCGAAATTATAATCGAACTTCGGGAAGTATGATTAATTTACTACCGCTTTTAGTAGTTTTATAGTCATGCAAACAAGAATATATACCATTTTTGGCGATGTATTGACATGTGCTTGCGCGTGTGAGAGTTGCTTCCGGCGCACTCGACTTGCGGCGATTCTTGGAAACGGATTATGCACACTAATGTTCATTTACTACTCACACACAGATACAGTATTAATTTATATGTCACATGAATTGCCTAAATAGTACTCTTTAAAATATGCTAAGGTGCAGCCCCCTTAATTCCACCTACGGTGGATTAATATAATAAATTTATACAAAATCCTATAATAACCTAACAGTACTAAAATCCGATGAACAAAAAAAAAAAACAAATTTAACCCTTTGTAAATTAACCTATGTTCTTCCCAGAGGTCTCATCTACCCACAAACATTAATTATAATATATAGGTTACTATACAAATACACAGACTATAACTATAATTTATAAAGACTAAACTCTGGAACTACTATTATTTACAATAATATGTATATTGACAAAAGATAATAATACAAATCAACAAACATGCCCGATTAACCAATATCAACCAATAAATTATAGGTACACCGGTGGATTTTTCTAAAGTTTTTTTTCAAATAAACCTTCTCCGTGAAATACTCTTTCGTTTAAAAAAAAATCAAGAATATCTGATAAGTAGTTCCAGAGTTTAGCCTGTACTTAGATATTATATTATAATTTATATTTAAAAAGTAAAGCAAATAGTTTTTTTTTGTTTTTATTCTTATTAGAATAGCTTAAAAACCCATGGCAACCATTTATAAGCAAAAATTTCCATCTGAGCTCAAAATTCCCGTTTGAGCACCTCCCGGGGTTGGTCTTCTCCCTTTTTAAATTAGCCTATCTTTTAGGTTTGACCAAATTACACACTGTGTAAAAATTGCATATTAATTATTAGTTTATCCCGGACAAACATTGTGACACGAGGTTTTTATGTAAAGAACAATTATAAAGAAGAAAGAACATTTTATGCTTAAAAAATATTTTGTATTTCGTTTTTCCTCGGGGAGTGCCGGGGCCCGGGGACCAATCGTCCTAGGATCGCTTGATTCCTACTGTACAGCTTTAAGCACTTTTTATTTGCATTTACGGAGTAGATTTGTAAATTTGTTGACTTATCAGTTATCGTAATGAGCATAATTTGGATGATAGAAGTTTTGCTGAAAACGACGCATGAATCACGGCTCGTGGCGGTTGGGTTTTTACTCGGTTGATTCATTTGACGTTGTAGGAACGTTGCTGGGACGTTATGAAAACCATGTCTGAGGCCGATCATTTCTACATGTAACAGGAGCGTATGCTGTTATAGCGACGGCCGCCGAACGAGTGGCTACGACTACAACTGCCGCCGTCGCCGCCGTCGCTAGCACCGAGATCGAAGTAAAGTAGCGAGTAGCGCGTGCGACCCTGGTACATGCGGAGCCCGCAACGTATTCCCGACAACGCTTTTACAACACACTCAGTACCCTAAATGATGAGAAAATTTGTTTTTCCAATTCTTTGTTTTTAACATTGAAGTATTATTATTTTCACCCTCTTTTTTTTTTTGCATTTCTGGTTATTCAAAGGATTAATTATTTTGAAAGTTTTTTTTTTATATACTTGGGTCAATTAATTTCATTTATTTCCATTTTTAAACTGCATTTTTATCTACTGCGATTGTGTAATACAAGAAAAATTAACTTGAAAAAATACAGTATCTCCATATAGACGTATCATTCAGTATCTGAATACGGTATTTTGATTGTAACAATTTATAACAAAAACAATAAGAGCACCAGTGGCACAACCAGGGGGGTCCCTGGGTCCGGACCGCCCGCCCCTCCATACCAATAGTGGGCTATAGCCTATATTAGTTAATTTTTTTATTTATTTAATTCAAAATAGTAAAATTATATACAAACTGTTATTAGCAACAAGAATAATAGTTTGGTGATACGATAGATATATTCAGTTTGTAGTACCTATGTACTCTGTTGGTAGTAGGTACCAGCGTGGCAGCGTAGTCCGATAAATTGAGGTGATAAACACAGGGGCGCCGAGACCTATATTAATGTAGGGCGACTGCCCTACATATTGAAATGGGTGGGTGGGTGGTTGCCGAGCGGGCAGTAGCTGATGCCTGATAGATGTTAACTGTAGAAACTAGAAAGATATATAAGAAATAAAATAGGTACCTATGTAAAGTATAATAATTATTATACGTAATACACTATAATATAATACATATTGTAGTTGGGTAACTAATACAATAGTATAAGAATAGTTAATAGTTTAGAATATTACAGGACGTATAACGATTATATAGCTATTTTAACAACTTAAATGTAATGATGTACATTAGGTATTTATTTATTCGTAACTCGTATAGGACCGTTGAATTGAATTATTTTGTACTGCGTAAACTGTTGAAAGTCATATTATACAGTTTGTAGTTAGTGAATACTGGGTATTTTTCATAAAATATCGAATAAATAACAGGAAATACGTCAACACATGTAATGATGGTTGGTACAATACTACAATAATTGTAACGAAAAATCTAAAATTATCGCGGAATATCGTTATCGTAATCACATGGAATACCCGTAAAGTGGTAGTATGCCAGTATAATATCAAAATATTTTTAGATTTTATGGTTTTATTATAAGAGAATAAAAGTATATATTATTATATATAATTGTTATTTTATCTTAATACGATGAAAACATTATTAAATATTAATTTTCACGTAAAGTCCGTCAGTCGTGTGCTGTGTTACCATTTATTTATATAGCTCTTGTGTAAACTGTGGCAACTGTGCATTTAATTTTTAATGAAACTTTGCCATTGTATCTGCATCCTAATTTGAATGATGACAATTCAAGTTTGAGCTCTAACGATTCAAACAGTGACGATACTACATCTGAACAATTAAAAAGGTGGCAAAATTCATCAAGTTTAATGTGTGTTTTTCAAGATTTCTGTAAAGCTGGTCTAAAATCTATTTTCCCAAGTTTATTTATGCTTATAAAAATTGGAGTGACTATTCCAGTATCAAGCTGTTCCCAGAGAGATCTTTTTCCAATTCAAATTAATAAAAACTCCTTTAAGAAGCACAATGGGGGAAGATCTGATGCGTATCACCTGTGAAGCTGAATAATCCAATTATTTTTTGTCAATTTTTTTTTAGTGAATATTTTACTCTTTACTGTGATTATCATTAAAATAAATAAAAATTATTTATTTAAAAGTTTAAATTATTTTATTTATTATTTTTTTTATTATATTATAATTTATAACTACTACTATTAATATTTTATTTGTGAAATTCTATTATTAATTATTAGTAACTTATATTATTACAGTATTACAACAGTTTCAAGTTATGTGTACCTATATTATTAATTTTTATAATATATTTAAATAATTTTTAAAGAAATATATAAAAATGTGTGTTATTGTAAATAGAGGAATATTATTAAGGGGGGTATGGGGGGCAGAGCCCAACATTAATTTGTAAAATTTTTTTTTTGGGTACGTGGTGGGTGTATTGCTTATTTTGGAAAGTTTGCCCGACTATTTTAATACTGTCTCGGCGCCACTGGATAAACAGTACAATTAGAAAAAAAATGTCTACCTATTCGTTTTCAAAATGCCAAAACGATGGTTTTCACTCCAAATTAAAAATCAGAATTTTTTTTTTAAGCGATGCTAATGAAGTTAAAAAATAATTTCGTACAATATGTAAATCGGTAGGTATTTTCTATAGAACATATAGTGGACTTTTATATGGTGGGCGGTGGCAGATATAAAATAGCATAGGAATACTACAAAAATGAAAAAACATTTATTGACATCATCAGCACGGCACTAGAATTTTTTTCCAGGGGGGGCAGAGTGGGGCAAATATTTTTTTTACATGGGCTA